AAAAAAAAAAATCAAAAATATCGAAATTTCATCAATTCTTCTGATTATTTATTGTTTATCATCATTCTAAATGGATTTTCTACACAATTTTAAAATTAAAAATAATGAGAATAATCGAAAAAATTTTGATGTATTTTTATTATCAATGATTATCTTGTGATTTTGATATAATTTGTTTTTACCTGGAAACAGAGCAGCTCGCTGTTGAAATGTACATGTGTAATAGAAATGTTGATAATTCATAGCTATTGGTTAGAAAGGACAGGATAAATATTTGAAGAGATAGTCTTACAATGTGAGAAAGGAGGGATTCTTCACTTCAAGAATTAAATTATTTTGCTTTTAGCTTGTAAACAACTTCAAATGGTACTTTAGCTTAAGATAAAACAATCAATCTAGACTATTGCAGAAATTAATAATTCAAATTCTATTTTTGATCATAATTCTTAAATTTTTATTAGAATAATAACACTGTATCATGATTCATAAGTCATCAGTACAGTTTGAGTCACTATGTACTCTTTATTACAAAAAAAAAAGTGTTCTTAAAAAGTTAGCTTAACCTGCTTCTCGACTTGACATTTCTCGTTCTTCTTCGAACTTCGTTTAAATGAAAGGTCACAATTCTCGATTTACCTTGCAATTCGTTTCAATAATCATGTAGGTCAAAACAATCCTCGTTGGATAAAAACTGCTACAAGAAAATACATGCCATTGAAAACAATATTTACTTTGGTGAACTTTTTCTTTAATATAAAATTTATGTCTAAAGATTTGTAGTAATTTAAGATCATTCAAAGCCTCTAAAAATGTTGGCAAGAAATAATTGCTTTTGCTTATCATTATCTATTTGAATGTTGAGCACATTAACCTAACCATATGAAAATTTCAACATTAGAAACGAGCTTAAAGCAACTTTATTTTCATTTTTTTTTAAGTGAAAAAAGTGCTTATCAACGATTAAAATATCAATTCAAGGTATATTAGATTGAATAAAAACACTTGAAAATATCGAAATTGAACTATTTTTCAACTGCATAAAACTCAAGTTTGGGACAGTAACTAATAAATGTTCGAATACCAACATCTTATATTCAAAACATTTGTATTTAACTGGTTTCTTTTCGAGTAGTTCGCAAACACAAAAAAATATTGAGTCGTCATTTTTGCTATGATACTCTGAAAAAAATAAAGGAAGTTCACGAAACTGTTTAATCCTCTAAAAGGTTCTGTATTTTCTCGACACTTTCTTGTAACGAAATTGATGGATAAGCTGTTTCGCTAATACTGCAGTATTCATTTTATTGTTGATCAACCTTGGGAAACTGAAGGAGTAGAGTTACCACTATTCTTAGTGTATGATATTGACTACGCCACCCCGTCACTCCAAGTCTGTCCATTTCATACAGAATACGAGAGAAGCGAGAATGAATAGACGACAGAGTAAAGTGGGCAATTACTATCGGACATGAGGTCAAAATGCCTAACTGCAGAGTGGCCGAATACTCATCCATCAATAAAACAATAGAACATGTCCATAGGTCGTGACCTTATTATCGGCACACATCTGTAGGTAGTAATATTTACCTCTAGTCATTTTGAAATAAATCAAAATGTATATTTGTGGAAAAATATGCATTTCATATTTCACATGAATCTTATATATAGTCTTCGCTATACTCAAATGGTACATCAGGTTTAAGAAAATTATTGTATCAAAGACTCAACAGAAGGAAGAACTCATAAGTAGATTTTTAAAGAAATGCTACAGTTTGATCATCAATTTTCAACTTCGCTAATCTTCAAAGGAAGATTGATGCATCTAAAATATGAATCTACACAAATAGAAATAAAATAAAATGTCGTAAAACAATTTTAGAAAATAAGAATGACAATAAAATATGTTCTTGCAACACATGATTCTAATGCATTGATGAGATAAAACATTCTAACAATAAAAACAAATTACTATTTATCTTGAAGTTAATAATATTATGTAAGCATTTTGTTCAAATATTTTTGTAGATATGTAAATAGACTTCAAATGCTTTTATGTTATATTTTATATTTAATAACTTTCATAGAAATAAATATTAAACAGCATTAAAAGGTCGTCATTTTAATTATGAGTAATATTCTCGAACGAACCTAATCATAAAACTATTTATAAATGATTAGTGTTCTTTGTTTTTATAATAACTGCAAATACTCTCAATAAATATAAATATCTACCTTGTATATTCTCATACCTTTAGCTTACTATCATGAAGGTACTACTTCATTGTATACTCAATCTTCAATATTATTTGCATTTTGTTTTTTTGTAAAACATCTATCGGAAGTAATACAGAGTAATTAAATGCTAATCTTAGCTTATTTTGCTCTAGTATAAAATCAATATGACTCTTTTAAGTTAGAGGCAGCTAACTACATAAAATGCAGCAGTCGATTCATTATTTTTCGGTCGCTTAACTGCCAAGACATTTTTTTCTTCGTCTTCGTCTTCCACTCTACGTATGAGTCACGATTTTTATCAATCATTCGCTCTAAGCATCTGAACGTTGGTTGTTTCGAACTGAAAGAGTGCATATATACTTCAAGTATCGTCTTGTGTAACTTAAATCTATCTACGACGAAGTATTATACATCCACAAAAAATTTTGCTATGACTCATATCGATCACATAAAAGAAATAATAATCAATAGATTGAAAAGAAAAGAATATGAGAAGTGATTATTTATTCATATTTAACATTAGTATCGTGCTACGAGTATGCTAAAAGAGAATAAATATGCTGATCTGTTTTAATAAATATTTCTTTTTATCTTTGTCTAACGAATTTGGCGCGTTATATAAAGTATTATCAACAATTCAACAAAAATCAATATCACCGTTTAATACAAACACAAATTAAATAAACGAGTCATATTCGATGAAATCTCATCCATACACCATGTATTATTTTTATTTTATTTAATAAGTCATAAAATAAAAGCACTTAATAGAAATATTCAATGTAAACTTTTATGATATGTTGATCATTGTAGCGTATATGATAACATATTTGGAATTCGTGCAGTTAGTCGTCTTGTCTATTCGAGAAAGCAGTCTAGTTTTATACATTTCTAAGATAGATACCTTTAGATAAAGGCATGTGAGTTGGATTTGTTGATGCAATCATACAATCATTCTATGATTCACCGATTCGATCTCATGTATCATGTGCAAATATAATCTTGTAAGACGTCTGTTATTTTATTGTCAAAATATAGCTTATGGTAATTGAATGTATTTTTCTATAGCAGGTAATTCCACCAAAAAATGTATCGTAACAAGTATTTCTTGTTATAATGTGCAATATATTTATATGCCTAGAGGTGTATGTAAATCGAACTCTTAGAGTACAAATAGAAAAAAAAGAAAATAGCTGTTATATATCGCAAATTTCGATGATTTTTATATATACTACTTGACTGAATTATTATGTTTAACGAAGAGTTTTGATAAAAGTGATTTTTGATACAAAAGTAACAAATTTTGTTTCTTCATAATTTTTCTTTTACGTCTGACAAATATTTCATTCGTATCAAAATCTATTAGAGTAAATAATGCGTCGCAAAAAAGACACATCAGTTCTGTGAATATACATATTTGAAACAATAGTGGTTTATTTTTGATTTGTCGTTCTTTCGTATTTTACATACTGTGTAACTGTTACTCTCAAGAAAAAATGAACGTAAGTTTGAACTTCTAAAAAAAAAATGTTCTCTTGTATACAATGAAACATTTAATCGATTTATCAAATGTCTATTATCCGTGAAACTTTTTGTTGAAATACTGTTATTAGATGAAAACTCATGTCATTATTTTTTCATCAAAACCGACGGCTGATCGTTTTCAATCTTATCTACGTCAACAAATCTTCATTTTTTCCATTCTTGACATTAAACATTTCAGTATATATGCATTAATATGGTGCTGTTTAAGTACTGAAATATGTAGCATCTTTGATCACAATAATTTAATAGTAGAAATTTCTCAATATAGATGTAAAATTTTCGTACTTATCTAATGATTTAACGATTCAGATTTTACGCAATATGCTCAGCATTAAATCGGAGCCGTTGTTTCGCGCTAAATAAGCACATTAAAACAATAATAAACCAAATAATTAAATTTTTGTGTTGTAGTCATTATGCAGAAATCTGCATAGATGTCACGGACCTGACCAAAAAAAAAAAGAAAATTATTTTACAACAACTTTTCATAACAGAACTAGAAGCATGATTTGAGTTGAACTCTTTGTTCTAAATTGTCTCCTTGTCAAAATAACATTTGTAACTTGAAGATAAAACAATCTCCAACAGAGAAAACCCCTACAAATTGGTCATGACCACACTGTAAAAAAGAGGGTTTTGTCGAAGACAAAGCAAAATAAGTTTCTTAAATGATTCAGGAAACTTTTTATTTTGGTCGATTTACGAAAAGCCCTTTTTTGTTTTAGATTACAAAACTGATTACTGTTGATGATCAGCAATATACAACATTTTTCTTTACCAGCGGTAGTTTCATCATCAGGTGTTAAACGGCATGTTGTTGTTCTTCTAGTCTTGTTATGAAAAGCTTTTTCAAAAAACTTAATTCTATTATGAATACAGAACTTATCTTCTGATTATAAAATATTCGTATGTTTTTTAATGAACTGTAGATAAAATAATTTTATATGAAAATGTCGAAAACAAAATTATGTTTGGAAAATTTGTCAGATGAAATTATAATGGAAATTTTTGATTATCTTTATGGTCATCATATATTTTTTGCATTTTTTGATTTAAATCATCGATTCGCAAAAAGTTTTAATAATTATCCACAAATACATGTTGATATAAATCATTTATCATTTTCAAAACGAACATTAAATTGATTGTTACATTCAATTCAATCAAACAATGTTCGTTCATTAAAATTTGATGGTGATAAATGGATTTCACGTATTTCAATGAAATATTTTACTTCATTACATTCAATTACATTTATTGCTTCAACCAATTTAATAAAAATTAAACAATGTCTTGAAAAACTTCCTTCATCTGATCTATTACAACATTTATCAATAAATCTAAATAATATATTGCAAGGTAATACACGAAATTTATATACAACTATCTATCGATTAAATAATCTAAACAACTTGAATTGCATTGTATCAAAGATGCTTTAGGTTTTGACGTAGTAAATCAACCATTATTATCAATTAAACATTTTAAAATTGATTGCCCTTATTTTAATGATTTTTTAAAATTGGCTCTACTTTTTCCGAATTTAGTTAGTTTACATCTCTCACCAGAAAATTATCACAATTATTCTCATATTCTTATTATTGTACCAGCTAATTGTTTATCAAATTTAAAATTTCTTCGTATGAATAATGTTCCAACATTTGATACAATTGAATTTATATTTCAATTATGCCCACAATTGCAAATATTGAAAGTAACTTGTCATACAAAATATAATATTCGTTTGATGATTAAAGCACAAGACTCGGAACAACATTTAAGTCTTATGAAATCGTTGAAAAAAATAGAAATTAATGTACGTGGTCTACACCATGGAGGAGTAATTGATGTATCAAAATATGAAACAAAGTTTTGGAAAGAACGAAATTTAACAGCTATTAAATATATTGATCATAAACCTTTCAATCGATTTTTTGTTTCAGATAATCAAGCTGCTCTTTTAATTAAATAATACACAACAAATAGTATCTTTTATTTATTTATTTATTTTTGATGTACTTGATATTGAAGATATTTTAACACATAAATACAAAATCATTTCCGCATTCGTAGTGTATCAATATATTCACTATATGTCAGTGGATGCACATTTAAACCCTTGTTGGCAATTTTTATACAGTGATCACTCACGTTTCCTATGGATAAACAAACAGTACACGTACACTGATTTCAGGTTTTATATTGACCATTGTATTTTATAATCAATTTGTTAACTCTTCCTTAGGAATTCAATATATCAAAAATCACGCATAGATGCTCTTGCCAGACGTACACTATCGGATCGAAATCTTTCCGTTCTTTGTCTTGTTATAATACTGTCATAAAATTCTTATGTTATATCTTGACTCAATGATAAACTTGATGCAAATTATGATGGTATAAAAAGAAAAAACGGGAAAAGACTCATGCCAGAGAGTGCAAAGTGATATGTTTCATACTTTTATCATTTTCGTGTTCATAAAAACACACTGAATTGCGCAATCTCTCTTAATTTCGTCCGAGACAGATGATTGTCATGGAAGGGAATAATTTACGTAGCAAGTACTAACAAAAACTGCAACATATACTTTGAATATCGAGAGATTTAGGTTTCAAATGAGAACTTCAAAAAAGATGAAAGACTCAGAAACTCATTTTAATACGTTTCAGTACATAATATAGAACGATTTCAAACTTCGTATAACATTTATAAACATTTTCTACAATCTACCATAGAGACATAGCTGAAACTCGTTGATTACGCTAAACTGACCTGAAGTAGTTCTACCATTTCATTTTTTTGTAACAAGCTCCATAGCATCAGTGGGTTCATTTACATGCCATGACTAGACTTACATCAACTCTAAACCTTTGAGTTTGGTGAATTTACTTTCATCTTTGTTAGTTCGGATTTGGGCATTTTTCTCATCTTCATCCGTACATTTTCAAAATATTATCTGATGCATAAATAAAAAAGTAAAAATAATGAACTGTATCTTTTATATAATCATTTATGTACTAAAACTATTAATTCCTATTAGTAATTATATGGGTTTTTCAGAAATTTTCGATTAGCAAGTATGTTTTAATTTGTCTCTCTCATATTCAAAACTGTAGTTCTTCTGAGTTACATGCATTGCCTACTTACTAAGTATTTTTTTTTTACAACGCTATGAAGAAAGTTTTTCCAATTAATAAATTGTCTGCAAGGATTCAAAAGTTGGAAACGATTGATTGATAATAATCTGCTTCAAAACTTTGAAGAATAATTAGGTCGTGGCAGATTTTTATACTACATAGTTAATAATGGTATCAGGTCGATGAAAAAAATTGTTGTCTGATTTTTGCTAGAAAACGTTATAACGGAATTACTACTGTTTATTGTACTAATCGGCAGTTTTCGAACGTCAAAAACTTCATTTTCCAGGAATTTTTCAAGTAAAATGTAGATAACCAATATGAAGTATCAGAATATGCGTACAAAATATTTAGTGAATAGCTGCAACCATTAAAAGAATTGCTCCTGACCACTGGTTTCTGACTACTGAACACCACACCCACATTCACATTATCTTCGAGTAAAATGTTATTATGTGCTTTATTTACGATTATATGATTATTGAAAATAAGTATACACCCATACTTGCATCACAAATGCCATGAAAACTATTTCGCAGTAGTGTGACGCGGTAGCGGTATTTTTATTATTTTCAGACAGAAAATGACAAAGAACGCTACAAAGCGCATCAAAGACGTCCATATGCATTTCCTTGTCTTCTTGAGGTTGCTTGAATTGCCTTGGTACACAGGAGTAAGACATGATATTAATCTCGACAGTAATTTTATAAGGTAGGTGTGAACATTGCTTTTCTATTTATTCCTATACATTCCACACCACACCTCAATTAGACAATGCGTAGATAGAATTAGTTCATTGCTGATCTGAATTTTGCTTTCAAGTTGAATTTCTTATCGAATGCTACATATTGTTATATTCTTTTTCTATTTTTCTGCAACGATTTATTTGAAGTCACAGTTATCTGACCACTAGTAATGAATTATTGGTGAACAATTGGATCTAAAATCATTTTGATTTAAGTCAATCACGCTATTACTTTCTTGATCGCATATGCTCTCATGATGACATCCAAACTTTCCCTTCATTTGATTGACTCACTATGTTCTGTCGTAAAACATCATCTAGATGTTTTATTCCTGTCAAGATCCAATGTGGTGCGCATCTATGTTGAAAAGAAACGTGTATTTATGAGTATATCAAGGCAAGAGACATGACAGGACTTACTGTATAATTGGATATAGATGACAAACATCATAAGACAAATATGTGTATATAGATATGTGATATCATGAATATATTGATAAATATATAAAATGTCAACTTCATGAGTCAGTACATACACAATATCACATATACTAAAATCACAAGACACTGCATATATAGCATCACGAAAACATTAATATCATACAAATGTTCGCATCATGACAACATGTAAAATAAGCATATAACAGTAAACTTAACATCATAATCAATATGCAGATGTAGGTTTGGATACCTAGAACATCTGTAGACCGATACTCACACTCAAGCCCACACCCACATCCCACACACATTCCTACTAACAGCCTAGTATAAATCAAATGTTGTTGAATGGAAAAGCATTTAAAATTTAGCTCTGTCAACTTTTGAGTTCGATTGTATCGATCGATCGTCAACGTATGGATTGGTCATATTCGTTTGTTTTGTATGTCTGTAAAAAGTCTCGTTATGCTCATAAGTAGACGAAGTTGGCAAAACTTGGCTTTCAATCTTTTCTGACGAGTTTATATGAGCAGGATTAATTTCTGATTCCATATCTTTTATTTTGATGACAGTGTCTGACGTTACCAAAAAGTTCGAAGAACGATTTTCAACCGTATTTATATCATGTTTTTGCGAGTGAGGATTATGAATATACAATTGTACAATAGGCTTACAAACTAGTCTAATGATAAGATACGCTATTGCGAACAATTCGATGACAAGAGTACAAAAGAGTAATGTATGAAAGGCAAGTTCAGCGACACGAATGATTGGATATTGATTATTTTGCAAAAAAAATGGTTGTTCGCTGAATATGAAAGCCAATGTCGTTCGTTGTGAGACATAACGAAGATATTATCCGTCTTACTCGTAGATCATACCGTCCGAAAGTGAACTTTCTCCAAATGTTAGTGTCCAACGGCCATCGTAGCGTGATTGATCCCCAACTTTTAGTGGTTTGGTTTGATTGACAACTTTGATGAGCACGACAGAGACTGTTGCGATACGGGAAAGTGTCTGATTAGGTGTCCAGAAAAATTGACATGTGTCAAGCATATGCACTGTATTCACACCATCAACATCATGAGGACCGCGAAGGCACAGACGGAATCCACCAATAACGTAAGGACCAGTAATATTGAGCTGTATATTCACGCGATGTGCCGGTGATAAGACGCTGACAGATCGTGTAATATTGTCCGGTTGCAGAATGCAATTATTGTCAGCAATGGGCATGTGTAAATACTTGACGCCTGGTCTATTCTGCTGAAAAGTAATATTCGAACAACTTGCTCTTGTATTGACTAGATCGACAGTCATTGTAAACGGTTGATTGTCAAGCATCTCGAAAATAGCCCATCGTCTTCCATCTGGATTTGGCAGTGGTAGCTGTAGAGCACTGTCGAACATGGCATTACGCATTGTCTTTTCACAGGAGGCATGCATTTCGTTTGACGTTTCAATGGGATACAACTTAATATAATCAGTTGAGAACCAGAAAACATAGGCGAAGATGACAGCAATGGCGAATGAAAAGAGTCCACCTATCCATCGTTCACCGTCGTTTACAATGTCTATGTATCTGAAAAATTTTTTGATGTGCCTTCGACGATGGCTTGCTTTTTGACATTTATCCATTTTCAATGCAAGCATTATGAGCCAAATGACGAAACAGAAGATGATAGCTAGAATTGCCCAAAATCCACGTGCGATGATGAGACAACGAGCTGAATGACCAATGGTGAACATATTCTGTACGAGAATATCATCATAATTGTTCATATCGGGTGAATCTGGATAAGTGAATGTTTGTGTGTATGATGGATACGCATCAAGAGAAACAGTATCGTCAACAGAATCCATGGGACAGAATGCAGTAGGTAAACATGGAGTGCACTGAATACATGGATGATCTATTGGATTCTTGGTTTGCGGTGGACACACAATACACGGTCCAACACTGGAAAAGTTTCTATATGTACCAGCTACACATGGCGCCTCTTTAAAGACTAATATCCGGTATGAATTTTCAGTTTCTACAGAACAGAGACCAGGCGCTCTCGCTAATAATAGTATTGTTCGAGCTTGATCGGTCAATAAATACAAGTTTCCCGACCAGGAAAGTATATGAAGGAAAAGAGGCGATAATGACATCGGTATTCTTTGTTGATTGTTCGGAAAGACAAAAAGAGGTGTAGTGAATGGACGATTCACATCGAATACCCATACTTCGGATTTAGACCAAGATCGATCGGGAACGTTGAAAACAGAAATGGCTACTGTTTCATTATCAAGCCACGCTACTGCACGACCAAAGCCAATGCTACGTTGAGATGATTGGTCAATGCGAATCAAAGAGAGCTGTAAATTACCATCTGTTGAGTTCGAAGAGCGAATATTGAATATAAATACTCGGTCAAGTAATGGTACACCAACAATGACCATTCTACGTGTCGCGCTGATAGCTACTGACATGTCATTAGCTTGATTGTAGTTGATAGCATCATGTAAGTTGAGTACACTGCTATGATTGAGATAGGCAGTGCTCATGTAACGAAATGGGTGAAGGTTGAAGAGCATAGCAGTATAAAGAGGTACAAGTTTTGGAAAGGGCGTAAGTAAAAATCCGATAACAATCGCCCAGGAGTCTG